CCAAACTAGTAATTCGTAAGTACCTCACAGCTACCGAAATTGCGATTGGTAGAGCAGTCATTTTTTTGCCGCCCAAAAGGTACTCTTTAACTGTTTTTTGCTTACTTCCAAAGCAGCCATAGTAAATTCCAGTACCAGAACTAATGGCTAGTACTATGAAAAATATGAGGTAGTCGTACCAGGAAAAGCTAGACATGACTTGTTTTCAGTAGACCTGAAAAGTTAAAACTAGGTGTAGTGACCCATTTAATGGTTTACTATGTTGATTATACATAATCTAGTGTTTTACGTAGGACCCTTTTATCTGTATGTAAAGTGTATTAGAATTCATTTGGTTTGTTATTTACATAAGTTGATGTTTTCGTTGTTAACTTTGTTATCGACGGTTTTGAAAATTTGTAGTTTATTGCTGCTTATTTGCTTAAATCACATCGCTTTAACAAACGCATTTAATTCAATAAAAAGTCATAAAATTAAAATGTAACTGAGAGTAATTATTCACTGATAATAGATTTTTTTTGCATTCGCTTTCTAAAATGACCTTTTGCGAACTCAGACACTGCAAATTGGTTCTTTGCAATGTTTGTATATTTTTTTAGTTTCATTACTATGTTGTTCATACTTAGATCAAGCACCAGTATCTCCCAAAATTTTGTTTGTATATTTATCACTCACAAAAACTCTGTTAAATTTGATGGAGGAGTACTGTATGTATGTACATCTATAGTCATAACTACTCACTCATACTATAACGTTCCTGTGTCTATTTTCTTTGAATTGCTGAATTGTTGGCATCGAGGTTGAAAAGAAAGAAATGTCTTTCCCGAGATACTAACATAAAATTTTATCGACACTGAGAACAGAATTGTTACCCTTGTAACAAATGCAAGATTTGTTTAAAAGACAAAATAGTAATTTTGGTTTCCTTCAACGTTTTGACCGTTACAAGCAAACAATAGTACATTCTTTCAACAGCCAAGTGTCGTCCAAATTTTGTTCTCGGAAGACTGACACTTTAGTTTATTTATTTTTCAATAAATTTTATGTTCAGGTAAACATAAATATGTCCAAATTAGTACAGGTCTTTTGAATTTGTTTGACCACCCCCGACGACCGTCACTTCTTAGAATCGCGGATCCTTTTGTCATCCTTTCGTTTCTAAATTAATCAGTGGAACCAAATTACTATTGCGAATCAGAGGGAACTAGTCACATGCTAGAAATATAAAGGATGCGGTCCTCACTAAAATATTTAATGTGGTCCACCTTGTTTTGAGAAAAGACCAGCTAGACCAGACAGGTGTCAGGACTTCGCAACTCAGGTAGTTGGTCAAATGGACAGTTTGCAGGAGAGTTGCTAGGTTCTGGTAACCTTAATTAGACGATGGAAGATAGTCGATATCGGGCGGTACTATAATTGTTTTGTAGTCTTTGCTTCCTTGTAATTGTAAACCGTCCCGAGTTCTCAAGAAATAATCCATCAAATTTACAAAGACTACAAAAGAGCAAGCTTCTCTCTAGGCTCTCGCGTTTGTTCGGGTTAGAGAGAAATATTTGGCAACTATGTTTCGTCCAAAGTAATATGCTTCCAGGCGATTGGACAAGGAAGTGTCCCCTCTTCGAAGACGAGCTTTCCTAATTTCAAAATTTCGTGACTTAGTCAGTTCTTGTTTGATTCCGACTTCGAGTGGTTTTTGTGACAAGATTAATCTAGAAAATCATTTATCTTAGGCTCAATTTTTGTTTCTTTGCTTAATTTTCGTGTAATTTCAAGTTCTTTTTTTTTGATATTTCTTTTCATTATTTTTGTTTTAATTCATTAATAAACGGGCTGGTTTTGCTTAAGCCTGAGTTTAATTTCAGTGTGTGAGTGATTCAACGGATTGCACCGCAGAATCGCCCTCAAGGGCGATTCTACATAAAATCGGCGGAGCCCAATAAGATACCCACTACCACGAGAGAAAAATCCGCGCTACCAATAATTTTTTTCTCTCGTTTGTTTTTTTCATTATTCAAGTTAAACCCACGAACCTTGGGTTAAAGGGCCCTTTTCAAATTAAAAATATTAATAATAATAGTAATAGTTTATGAATTTTTAAAAGTGTACAAAAATTATTATAGGGCAATGCAATAAAAAACAAAAACTGCAGAATTTTCTCTCGTTCTCTCTCATATTAATGTTAAACAACAAGTCACTGATCAGTTATCTGTTCCTTCCACATCGTCTACTTCCATTGACCATCATCAAAATCAAGAAGAAGCCATTGAAGTTGAGTAAATATTTAAAGAAGCATATCAAACTGATTTTGCAAATTTTTTTAATGTCAAATTAACAGATAGCATAAAAAAGCGATAATAAATTTTGAGCCTTGCAGACTAAAGGCTCCATTTCCTACTGACGAAAACAAGAGATATTTTTCTGAATTTTATTATAAAATTATAACACAGACGGGACATGAAGTAGAAAGACTTTGGCTATGTTATTCAGTAAAAAATGTGTTTATTGTGAGCCTTATTGTTGCTTGTTTGCAAAAAAAATCATCTTGGAGTAAGCTTTTAGGGGTCACCGAGAAGATATAAGCGGGGGTGATTACAACGGCAATTGTTCAATTAATGTCACAATGTGGTTCAGTACTGAAAGAGATTCTTACGTTACCGAAAGGTTCAATAGAGTATTTAAGTCCAAATATTGAAAACGAAATCATTACTTGTTAATAGGGAGTTAATAGGGGGGTGCAGAAAAAGATTCGTGAACAAGAAGAAACTGCGATTTATATTCATTGTGCTACACCTAATTTATTGTTAAAATTGGAGAATTTTGAATTTATTTTTATGTGTACATTTTTACATAAAATATTCGCAGAAATTGATATTTCATCTAAATTGCTTCATAAAATTGATTTAGATTTATCACAAGCTACTAGTTTAATTAAAGCTCCCTTACAGTCTGTAAAAGAATTAAGAAATAATTTTGACAATTTTATGTGATGCAACAACGGCAGCTACAAGATTAAAAATAACTACGGATTTCAAAAATAAAAGAAAAGCCAGGGTAAATTTTTTTTTTGATAAACTTGCCGAAGACCATCGTTTTAATGATCCTAAAGAATATTTTAAGATTAACGTATTTTATAAAGTAATGGATATTCTACAAACCCAGTTAGAAATAAGGTTCAATTCTCTCTTTTAAATTTCTGAACTGTTTAACTTTTTAAACCCTAAACGTTTGGCGGAACTTAATGATGAAGAAGTTGTTGTCAACACAACAAATTTTGGAAATTTTTATAAGAACGACATAATC